CAAGGAACTTGATAGGAGAGCAGAGAGAGAACCTGATCAGTTTGCTGCAAAACGTTTACATTCTATTCAGCAGCCTGGGTGTGGAAGTATGGGACTGTAGGCAGTATTCTTTATTCTATACAATAAAGACCACAACTCTTATTGTTTTGGTGCTAACTTGGCCGCGACCGTTTTATTATTGGTTTAAATATCATTCTTTATAATAACAATTTATTTTTACATATTAGCTTACTAATAATTGTAAAACATTTGTACTTAAAATAATCTTACTCAAAAACCGCAGCTTAGTCACTACGACTCAAGCTGTACTTATGAACACAACACTTATCAACCATACTCCTTAACCATACAACTTTTTTTCAATTTACATACTTACGTATTTTACCATCATTAAATATACTTAGCAATAATAATTAGCTGCGCCGAAAAGGGGCAGGTGGGAGGGAGCACTACAGAGATGCCTCCCAGGTTTCTGAATTTTCCGTTAACGGAATCCCCTTTTATAGCCCTCTCCTCTCTCCAATTCTTCTCCTTATTGGTCACTGTTTCCTTTCAGGAATGTCCAGGTGTAGTGGGGGGCTAAAAACTTCCAATTCTAGAATCTTCCCCATTATATAATATACCCTGGGGGGGGGGGGTTAAAACTCCACAGGTGTAGTGGGAGGCTTAAAACTCCTTTTTTCTAGAAGCTTCCCTATTATGCTAGTATATCATGGGGGAACTTGAAATTTTAACATTTTTTTTTTTTCTCCTCCTCACAGCAGTGGGGGGACTAAAAACCATTCTGACCTTCTAGAATGTTCCCCCACTGTATTTTACAGTGAGGGGACTTGAAACCTTCTTTCCCTGCCACAGTCCCATAACAAAAGGGGGGGCCCTATTTATTCCCCCTTTCTGTTCCTATTCCTTCTACAGTCTAACTATAACAAAGAATGTGGTGTCATCTGCCTTGCTCTGCAGTATGACAGAGCAGTGTAAATTTTATAACTGGATGGGCAGAAATACAAATGCTTTGAAAAGTAAAATTGCTCCCTTATATGTATTTCATCTGTGAATTTAGCGGTTTGCCTGGAGTTCCACGTTAAAAGACATGCTTTTAAAAATTGTAAGGCTTCTAAAATAGTCACTAAGTCTGGAAACTTCCCACCTGACTAGAACTGTATTACTAATTCTGATTCTTTTTCAGATCATGGCTGTGGCTGGCTTGGACTCTAGCAAAGCTCAGAAACATTCTCCCTGTCGCTCCACAAGATCCTGGGCCACTCCTCCAGCTACTCCTACGAACAGGGACCGCACCCCCATTCTACACACCCCTCATCCGGGTGGACCATGCTGAGTCTAAGGAGCAGATGAATGGAAGTCTCCCATCCTTACAAAGAAGCTCATGGTACACAGATGACACAGACATTTCATACAGGACATTTAACCAATCCAACCTGACTGTACCCAATGACTTCAGGAACAAACACAGTGACAAGCAGAGGAGTGCAGACAGCCTAGTGGAAGCCGTAAGTAGCCTTGGGTTATATTGCCCACTTTACAGCCCTTCAAAAACATGTGACTGTATTATACCAGTTGTGGGACTTTAGTGTGGCTTGTATGGGCTTATGTAATAACAGGCAAAGCCCAGAGGTCATCGGCGCTGAAGCCACGATTCTATAAAAATCTGTTCATTGACCACAGTGAAAAGCCTACAACCGTGACACATGAGTAGATATGTTCCTGACACTCAGAACTGATGAAACTGCTTGGCGGCACAGCAGAACCTCTTCAACTCTACAGAACAAATCCAGATGAATGTGACTAACTACTACTAACTACAACTGTGACACATTTTAGGCTACATAGTTAATCATACATGTAGTGGCTGCTGGTAAGCTGAAACGTGTCCCAGTTTTCTAAGCCTTGATGGTCCTAAGCTCTCATACAGAAGGTCTTAACCTCTGGAAGAAGATAGAAGAACTCGCCTTTTGGTCCTAACCTCCTCAGCACTGTGAATTAAAAAAAAAATATATAGCACATTTGTTTATACTGATGGCACTGGTATAGCTTCAAGGTGCCAGTGCAGTATATGTATAAAGGGGTACATCAATGATCCTGCTTTAGACCAGGTAGGTGTCATAGACCAATCCACTGAAGAAAGGATGTTCAGAAGATATTTTGGGAAATTCATGAAGGGTGTCATAGACAGCATTGAAAGTGCTGGTGCTTGCCACTGTTAATATTGGGGACTAAAATATTTTCGTCAACACAAATTAACACTATTTTAGTCAACTAAAATGCAATTAAAACTAAAACAATTCAGATGACTAAAATACGACTATAAATAAATGGCATTTTAGTCAAAAGACTATATCTAAAACTAAATCCAAATTTGATGTAAAAATTTAACACTGGTTATACATCACAGCAGCTAAGTCTGTGTCTGTAGTGTATGTTCAAACCTTAATACCATAAATAATAACATATTATTCAATTTTTTTTACTGCAGAAGTATATGAGTTTTGAAATTCTACATAAATGCTTAAATAATGCATTACAATTTGACTAAACCCATTAGATTTTAGTCGACGAAAATGTATTGGAGATTTTAGTTGACTAAAATATGACTAAAACAATTCAGAAGACTAAAATACGACTAATACTAAAATGGCCTTTTAGTCAAAAGGCTGTGACTAAAACTAAATCGAAATTTGACATTAAAATGAGCACTGGTGCTTGCACCCAATAATGTACCAGTCAGACAGGTACATGAATGTGTCTGGGTCTGCACTGAGGAGGAATCACTCTGAACACTCCTTCCCCATTGCACTCACACTGACAAGTGCTTGGGTGAGGAATTTTATACTAGGGGTGGGAAGAGCCTGATGGGGGAACTGAGAGACTAGTTCTCTGATCAGGTCCACTGCAAGTTTGATCGACAAAGCGAGAGTGGGCGGATCCATAGCCGCTATTCAGTCAAATAGTGGATTTAGAATCTGACCACTGTTGGATGCTGTCAATGAAAAGTGAAGCAGATCTTATGAGGAGCTAGTATCTCAGTTCCCCATTAGGTTCCACCCACCCAGTAACAAGGCATTGCCCATGTTTGGGCATCTATGGACCGATTGTTCACATTTACCTTGCAGCCAGCAAATCTCCTGACCAATAGCTAAATAAGTCGGAGGTTACAGCACTGTGCGGGAAGCTATCACAGACATGACAGCCTCCTAGCAAGGGCATGGCCTGCTCTGAGTACTGGCATGCCTCTGTGTTGGCCTCTATTACTGCCAGCTTCCTAAACTGAGAACTGGTGGTAATTCTTTCAGAATTGGTTGCTGCCATAGGGATAGAATATTAAAGTGGCGTTTGGAAGAACTGCCTGAATTTTACTGCTTGTGTCAGTAATGTTACCAACACTAGCTCAAATGCCTGCCTGAAGACCTTTCATATTTTATTTAGTGAACTGGCAGAAGTGAACTCTGAAAACAGTGACTGGTTCTCATTAGCATCCCTGCCCCACTTTGTATGTGTATTACCATGATTGAGCTTGGAAGTTAGAGTGAGGTTAGGCATTAATAGCTCAGAAATTCTGTTTAGTTGGGAGATTGCAAAATGGAGATTGAAGCGGAGGTCAACCCAAAAGGGAAAATGGGGAAATTAAAGTACTGGTCCCCCACTCCCTGTGAGGAATTGGCACCTTTGGGGAGTGGGGGGGGGGGGGTTAGCGGGTACCCAATTTTGACAGGCACCCACTCTCACTTCTGCTGCGATCGCCTAGGCGATCAGAAGTGGAAATTGTCCCCCCCCCCTCCTTCCCCGTAGTCTTCTGGGACATGTGAAAGGTCCCAGAAGACTACAGGACCATTCTCAAGGTGCAGCGCTGCTTGCGCATGTGCAGTGAGCACCCGACTGTGAAGCTACAAGTTGTCACAAGCACGGGTGCCCACACTGAAGATGCCAGCGCCGAGGAGCGAAGATCGTGGGACAGGTAAGTGGCTGTTTTTTAAAAGTAAGCAGCTACAGTTTTTGTAGCTGCTGACTTTTTTTTTCTGGTTTGACTGGAGCTCTACTTTATTATATCATGAAAACTAATATATCAGTGAACCCCACACTATCATACCCAGTGCTAAACTCTAAACTCAAATCCCAAACATAAACACAATACACAGTCCAATAATCAAAGTTTGAAATTAAAACATTATCCCCAAAATATCCTGTAAAGTCACTCAAAATTGTAAGTAAATTAGTAAAGTCACTTCAACAAATTAAGTCTCCAAAATCCAGCTTGTCACTTTCTTTGGTGCTGAGCCCCTCCACTGGCTCTTATAGGACAGAAAAAACCTAAAAAAAAGGAAACACTACATAGTGTATTACCTTAAATCACCAAAATATATACATCTCATAACTTCCACAAAAATGTGTAAAACTTCAAAAATTTAAGTGACCACAACAGTGTAAACCTCTATAGTGGAAAAGCATATATACTCTTACCAGAATACAAAAAGGAAAAATGCCTTAAATATATAGTAGGAATCAGCATACATTCACTCCTTTCCTCCACTCCTGAAGTGTGCCTCTTAGGATGTCATCCACCATATCCTCCTGATCATTCCCATGGTTTAGACGGACATTCCCAAGCCTCCAGGGTACTCATATAATGAATGTATAAATATATATTTATAGTGTGATACCGTTTTAGTAATACAATAAATTTATTAGATCTGCTTACATAAAAATAAGAGAAAATCGCCTATTCCCATGCCCCAGAACCCTTCTGGGTGGCCGAGCAGCTTATTCCTCACTTTCCATGCACATTTTGTCAATACTCAAAATGGCCGACATGCCACTTCCCTTGATGCGTTTCGTCACATCCGGGACTTAATCATAAGGGGTGATTAAGTCCTGGATGTGACGAAACGCATCAAGGGAAGTGACGTCGGACGCACAGGAAAGGAACTGGAAGTGGCGTGTCGGCCATTTTGAGTATTGGCAAAACCGCATGGAAAGTGAGGAATAAGCTGCTCGGCAACCCAGAAGGGTTCTGGGGCATGGGAATAGGCGATTTCTCTTATTTTTATGTAAGCAGATCTAATAAATTTATTGTATTACTAAAACGGTATCAGTGTGTGTGTGTGTGTGTGTGTGTATATATATATGTATGTGTGTGTGTGTGTGTATATATAGGTGTATATATATAATGTGTGTATTTATACATTCATTATATGAGTACCCTGGAGGCTTAGGAATGTCCGTCTAAACCATGGGAATGATCAGGAGGATATGGTGAATGACATCCTAAGAGGCACACTTCAGGAGTGGAGGAAAGGAGTGAATGTATGCTGATTCCTACTATATGTTTAAGGCGTTTTTTCCTTTTTGTATTCTGGTAACAGTATATATGCTTTTCCACTATACAGGTTTACACTGCTGTGGTCACTTGGTTTTTGTTGTACTCACAAAGTGACACACTAATTTCCACTTTGCACAGTGTTCACTATTTTGGCACCAATTTTTGAATTTTTACACATTTTTGTGGAAGTTATGAGATATATATATATTTTGGTGATTTAAGGTAATACACTATGTAGTGTTTCCTTTTTTTTTAAGGTATTTTCTGTCCTATAAGACCCAGTGGAGGGGCTCAAAGAAAGTGACAAGCTGGATTTTGGACACTTAATTTGTTGAAGTGACTTTACTAATTTACTTACAATTTTGAGTGACTTTACAGGATATTTTGGGGATAATGTTTTAATTTCAAACTTTGATTATTGGACTGTGTATTGTGTTTATGTTTGGGATTTGAGTTTAGAGTTTAGCACTGGGTATGATAGTGTGGGGTTCACTGACATATTAGTTTTCGTGATATAATAATTTGCACTTTCAAGGGTGAGAGTGATTTTTCTAGTATGTGAAGGGTTATTTTAGTTTAGTGGTAGGTGACACCGTATTTATATACATATATGGAGCTCCACTTTAAGCTACAGCAAGGAAATGGATAAATTCCAGCTTTAATTAAAGTATGTAGTAAATCAAGCCCTACACTAAAATCTAATGTTTTTCCTGTAAACTTCAGATAATTTGTAATCATTTTATATCTGCAGGTTTCAATAAAATATCTGGTGATACTGCCATGGAAGTCCCTGTCTTAGTTGTGCTTCTGCAATAATACCATCACTTGCTCTCCCAAAGGAGACTACAAGTGGTCTATACATCCAGACATGCCCCATTGTAGTCACCATCAGGAAGCTCACCCTGATAAATGAGCAACAGCAGTTTAGGGAGTGCATGCATGTAGACAGGAAGTGGCTGCAACAAAGAATGTATTTTGTTCAATAAAAACCAAAAACCCCCCAAAAAAAATGGAAATTGACTGATACACAGTGCTTAAGGAAAACTAAATGTCATTAAGTTGGGGTTTACATGTACTTTCCAAAACCAAAAATGTATTATGTTGCAGCTTACCAAACATTAGATGTGGTGGCTGCATCAGTTTTTTCTTTTCTTTGGATTTTACTCCTCTGTTTCACCTGGTGATTTGGCCAATTTGCCAAATAACATACCTCCTGTATTAGTGAGACATCACTCTGGAGGAATGAGCCAGGACACAGCAGACAGCACCATTGTCAGTCTGGGGGGATGTGAGTGTTTAAATGTATTAGCAGATTTAAATACAAATAACAAACAGAATCCAAAGTCCAGCGCACACTTTGTAATCCGTTACAGCAAGCATTTTTCCTTTTGGGATAAAGGTTTTCCATGAATAAAAGCTGACCAATTTAATCACCCCTGCCTGTGGTAAATGAATGATCTTATCTATGTGAGCTGATACATTCTGCTGGAGAGCTTGAACTTTTGAAAAACAGTAGAGTTCCCAGCTGAATCACCAGATGAAAATAGAAGAAAGAGAAGCAAAAATGTAGTGTAGTGCTGCATAAAAACCAATCAGCTTCCAGGTTTTATTGCCAAAGCTTAATTCAACAAGTTGAAGTTAGAAGCTGATTGGCTCCCATACACAGCTGAACCAGATTCTGCGTGCACCAGTTTTAGTAAATCTACCCCAAAGTGCCTTGACTTACAGCAGCCATCAGATTTATTTTTCTTCCAGTTTAGTGTGTATTAACCCTAATGCGATATTTTTTATTCTTGGTATAGGTGTCATCTGTCTTCAGTCCACGGGGTATTCTGCCCATCCTAATTTAAACCTTCTTCTCTATATTTCAGGTCCTAATCTCGGAGGGATTGGGGAGATATGCTAGGGACCCCAAATTCGTGTCTGCCACAAAACACGAGATTGCTGATGCCTGTGACATGACTATAGATGAGATGGAAAGTGCGGCAAGCAATCTTCTCAATGGCAGCATTCGGAACGGGACAGCAGGGGGCGATATGTTCCCTATCTTAAGCAGGAGAGACTATGATCTTCAAGACTTTGGCCCTGGGTACAGCGATGAGGAGCCGGAGCCCAATAAATATGAAGAAGATCTAGCTGATGAAATGATTTGTATAACAACTTTATAGTATTTAATGAAGCTGTAAAAAGACACTTAGGATTCTATAAAAAAAAAAAAAGTGCCTCTCAGTTAATGAAGCATGGCACTAGAAAGGGAGAAAGACTAAACCAGCTTTGTGTGGTCACATGTAGTACATGCCATGGATACACGTTGCGGGTGCAACTTACCAGGACATCTGCTGTTGCAGGACAACAACTCCCATTTTTCCTGGCTCTGGTGGAAAATACGTGTTTTTTATGCAAAGTCTTCAGTTTCGGAGTTCTAGGTGGTGAAGGAAGGATGGTCAAACCATATTGTGTTCTATGTGAACAGTAGGCCGCATGTTGCACCTGAATCAGTGATGCAATTATGTGACTTTTTTTTTTTTTGGTGATGACAATCAAAATGCCCTCGTCATTACCCCACAGCCATACCCACCATATCAGCTTCTTACTCGTTTACTAGGTCTGGTAATTTTTTATTGCATCTTTAATCTTGGCCAACAGGATGGCCACCAGAGTTGGCCACCATCAAACTACTTCAGTTGCACCCTCTTCTAGTGCTGGTCTGCACATTGCATTACAATAGGCCCAGGAATCCTGCTGATGATGTAAATTTAGTTTACATGGTGAAAATATAATTTTAATAGTCAACTTTTTTTTGACTATCACATTAAGGGCAAATGACACTGGAATCGCTGCAATCAATGCACTGACACCCAGATAAAAAGCTTATAGCTGTCAAAAAAAATGACAATTTAGATTTTATGTAAATGATCTGTAATATATGCTAATTTGTATTTGTAAAGAGATGTTCTATATTTTGTAATCATTTATGGCAAATTGAACTGCAGCAATATCTAAGGGTTTCTGAGTTCACTTATCTCCGCAAAGAATTAAAACAAATATTTTTTTCTGCAAATCCATAGATATTTAGAACAATCTATTAACACAAAAAAAGGTTAATTGTTTTTAAATAAAAATTTATGAAGAAAAATTGAATTTTTAAAATAAATATTTTATGTCAAATTTAATCTATCTTAAAAGAAAAAAAGATATGCAATTATTACAGAAAAAAAAGTTATTCCGATCATTTCGGGTGTTTTATCATGTGACAGTGAGCTACCAATCTTTTTAATCTTACAAAAAATGTTACATCAATTTTTTTTCCAAGCAAACATTTTGTAATGTTGTTGGGAATCCTAAAAGAGAGTGCTGAATTAAATAAGGTGTTTCAAAGAGCACCTAGTGTTGGATTTGTTTTATATGGCGATCTTAAATATATTTAGACATATATATATATATATTTAAATATATAAGACAGTCTACTGGTGTATAACATTCCAATGTCAAAGAATGAATATTTCAATGATGGCAGTATTAATACTTAACAGCTATTCATATACTATAGGATTCTTTGTAATAAAAGCCTCCTATGAAAACAGTTCATAGACTTGGTTTCTGCACTGGCAGGATTATACTATGATAATGTAAGGGTGTATCCTGTCTATAAGATTTGTATACTCTGATGGTAATACAGACACAATACAAAAACCTGATAATCAGAACCCGGGGGACACATAGTTATTACCATTACTAGTAACAACTGTGAAAATGTTAGATAAAAATAACAGCTGTCAGGGTTGGAATTCATGGCACCTGAATATGCACCCTACTCCCAAAGCCATGATACATATTAGGCCCTGGTTCACACTGGCGCGACATGGCATGCGACTTGCGATACATAACCAGTAGCGATCCACACATGTAGATATACTGTTGAGGGTCAGCCACTCTGCGCTGGATCACATACAAACCTCCATCTTCTTGCTAGCAGCATTGTCAGACAGTGGGTAGGGCAACCTGTCTGACCACATCCCTGGTTACTTTCTAAATTTCCAGTTATACAGTTGCCCTCCGCCCTATAGAAGAAATACTGCTACAGGGCGGCAGGGCTGCACAAAGTCACGTACATATACGTGATTTGCATTTTTGGGTAGGGGGTGCATGTGGCGCCCTACCCACGCCTCCATTGGCAGCTGTAGATGGCAATCACCAGGTCCCGGCAGGAAATTCACAGCTCTCTCTCCTGCCAGCAAAAGCATGCTGCCAGCAAACACACACAGCACATGTTGTAAAACAGCACACAGTTAACCCTTTGATTGCCCCAGATGGTAACCCTTTCCTGCCCAGTGTCATTAGTAGTGTCAGTGTTTTCTATTATCACTGATCACTGTATTAGTGTCATTGGGATGTGGGTGGCAGTTAGTCACCCCCCCCCCCCCGTGTCAGAATGCCCACCACAGTCCCACTATAAGTCGCTGATCGCCGCCATTACTAGTATAATAAAAAAAAAAAAATTCCAGTGTACTGCCATTTTTAGATGCTATAACTGTCATGTAAACCAATTTACACATATTGGGATTTTTTTTTTGTTTAGCAAAAGACATGTAGCAGAATACACATTTTACTGGATATGTTTTATAGCAAAAAGTTAAAAATATTGTTTTTTTTTTTTCAAAATTGTCGGTCTTTTTTTGTTTATAGCACAAAAAATTCAAAATGCACAAATACCACCAAAGAAAAGCTTTATTTGTGGGGAAAAAAAGGACATACATTTCATTTGGGTGCAGCGTTGCATGATTGCGCAATTGTCAGTTAAAGTAACACAGCGCCGTATCGCAAAAAATGGCCTGGTCGGGGGGGTAAAGTGGAACTTTACCCATAAAAACTTGATAAAAAATAATGCTCTTGAGCAAGAAACATACATTCCACATTCATAATTATGCTACCAGTGTTGAGGTGTGCTGCAAATTGCCTTCAGCATCGCTCCTGTTTCTTTTTGTTGGAGGTTGCCGTTTTGCTGAAGCCCTGGGCCCCTGAGCAGCATTAAATCTTTAGACTGTTAGCAGATAGGCCTCTACAAATTTGGCACAGTCCCTAATAATAGAGATGAACGGAGCATGTGTAGAGCAGGGTGTGAGGCAATTTATTTCTGTATTTTACACAGTATAGATGCTTATTTTTAATGTTTTACATAGCTATACCTGCAAAAGGGGCCAGCCTGAGTGGTCTAGCAGGACTTAATTTTTTAACTAAAGTTCCACTTTAAGTTGTATCGTGGCTTTGGAGTAGGATGGATATTAAGGTGCCAAGAAATCCAACCCAAGGCTCAAAACCTGGAGTTCCCTCTATTTTCTTCCACAAAATTCACTAGCTACAGTCTATTTACAAACTACTGTAAATCATATCTAAATGCAAAAAGCAACATTTGGGGTATCTCAGATTACAAATTCTAGGTGTGGTGCCTGCATTTGATTTATTTTTTTCAGGCAAAGAACATTATAAGTAAACTACCCGTTGATCATGCCAGAAATGCAGTCTCCTTGCTACTTTCTTTGAGCCCTAAAGAAAGACACTTGGGCTGGCCATACATGGGCTGATTTCCGAACGATTTTTCGTTCAAAAATCGGACCTAAAAATAATCAACTGTTCTCTGTAAGTGGGTAATGGCACCGGCCGATTTTTATGGTTCCTCCCTATTTCATTTATCAGGCATGTTGGAAAGTGCGTGAAAAACTACCAATTTTTGAAATCATTGGTGGCACCATCGGATTACAGAACAAACAACGTTTTAGATTTTGAACGAAAAAATCGTTCGGAATTCGACCCATGTATGGCCTGCTTTATTTTTATTATGTAAAACTACTAGTCCAATCAACCCAGGATGGCCATACATTGTACAATTTTCTTGAAATTTTTGGTTTAGATTTACCAAAAACCATATAATAGGAGGACAAAACTAACACTTTCAATTGTATCCAATTAGGTAGGCCCTTGCACTACATAGCTGAAGGTAAATCTAAAGGAAATTGGGCAGAAATTGGACAGAAAAATGTATAGTTTATGGGCAGCCTAATGGAGAAGAACAAAGGTACACTTGTTGAATGAATGAAGGGATTACCTATGAAAGAAAAGGTAAAATTAAAAAAAAAGAAAACTACTACAGCCACTCCACCTAAAGACTGATAAGTACATAGGATGAGTGAAAGGGGGGGGGGGGGGGGGGGGGTTAGATAGGCTTTAATGTAAACTTTTACTGGGAGTAAAATGTGGGCTACTGTTGCTGACTGCCTGCTAAAAAGGATTGCTGCTTGGCTTCTACGCTGACCCACCAGCTTTAATGATTTAAATCACCAAGTTGGAACAAGTATGCAGATTAGGTTGGTCATTAGACCTCATCTGCTTCCTTCTTTTGACTTGGCAGGGTTGATTTACTAAAGGTAAAAAAGCTGCTGACTTACATATTTTGATACTTGGCTTACCCTTTTGTATTTTTAAACAATACAAAATTAAAGTAGTACTACAGGCAAAACTTTTTGATTTAGTTTTGGACAAAGTGGAGAAGGATTAGCACACCTGTCAGGTTTTTATTGCTGTCTGTATCCCCCATTAGAGAGATTCAGTCTCTCTATTTGCCCTGCTTATCATTATCATTGAAAGTGAAAAGACAATCCCAAATTTTGGGTTGTCCCCCAGAACAGTAATAGAGGGGAAATGTTCCAATAGGGACACTGGTTCTGGTGACCTGAAAGGTGCCCAAAGGATTGCTTTCATTTTTATGGATTTTCTCTCACTTCCTGTTTTGACTACATAAAACTGTCACTTTTTTAACCACTCTGATACTCTGGGATCCCAACTGATTTCCACAAATTTGGGTTGACATTTCTAACTCCCGTAGGAAATACAATTATCCTCTTAAAATGGAACTAAACACATTGATTTAAGGCCTTGTTCACACCATATGTGCGTAAAAACTGATGGAAACTGACACGCAGATTTCACTTGCAGAGACATCAGTTTCCATGCGCCTGTAAATGAGTTTTATACACGTTGCAGATACCTGCTCAGAAAAAAACTGCATGTGATACTAGTGTTGTGATGTGAACAGGGAGCAGAGAGAACTATTGATTTTGTTGTGCCCTTGCAGTACGCATGCAGAAAAACCGATGTCTCTGCACCATGGTGT